AGAGAGTGTACAGAGATCCTTTACCGCACGTATAAGTTCGTCAAGCACCTAACTACTGGGAACGCTTAAAAGGGCACTTGACTTGTACTCGTTGGAACGCAGGAGGGAGAGATATATCATAATCTAACACTTGGAAAATCTTGGAAGGAATGGTCCCAAATCTGCACACAGAAATCACTCCCTACGAAAGTAAAAAGACGGGCAGGCGATGCAAAATGCCGCAAATAAAAAGTGGGGGCGCCATTGGTACACTAAGAGAAAACACCATAAGTGTCCGGGGCCCAAAACTGTTCAACAGCCTCCCATCAAGCATTAGGGGAATTGCCAATAAACCCCTGGCTGCCTTCAAGAGAGAGCTGGACAGATACCTAAAGTCAGTGCCGGATCAGCCGGGCTGTGGCTCGTACGTCGGACTGCGTGCGGCCAGCAGTAACAGCCTAGTTGATCAGGCCCTGATCCATCGGGAGGCCTGGTCGTGGACCGGGCCGCGGGGGCGTTGATCCCCGGAATAACCTCCAGGTAACCTCCAGGTATACAATTCTGCCGAGACAACACTACCAACACAGGATTATCTAGACAATAGTACCAACACAAAACAACACTATTTACACAACACTTTGATTTTTTATTACGTTTCATGTTTGTCTCTCTTAATTATTATATTTTAGTCAATGTCGTCGGTTCATCAATCATCATTCTTACGTTGAAGTTTTAGTTCACGATGCTAGATAAGCGCAAAATATTGACCAAGGTCCCTAATGCATTCTTTTGAGGACATCGTCCCTTACTGGACTAGGAGACACGATTGAGGGATAGGAGACTCCAGTACAATGAGCGTAGTCGTGTGAATACATGACTTTGGCGTGATTGTGGTGGGACGTAGGCCAACTTAGGTCACTCCAGTAGAATGAAAGTCCGGGAAGGTCCTGAGATCAGTGATATAACAGCTATAATGACTAATTAAGTGAAGCCGGGTCGGCCCTCACCACAGGATGCAATAATACTCAGAACCAATACCTCCTTACACTAGGGTCTCTGATGAACTTAATGAATAAAAGTATTGAGGCTCTAGGTTCCGGTACTGGAGGAACGGTGCATTTAGTACTCAGCGGTGATGGACTCAAGTGCCAAATGCTCTCTACTATTAAAGGGAAGCAAGTCTCTTGGCGATTCTGACCCCTCATGGAAGGTTCCTTGATGTTGGCGAGGGGCTCTTGATTTAGGGAATTGGATCTGTGCTCCAGTTCCCCGAATTAAGCCTGAATGCCTTCCACATCCCCCCCCCGGGCGCTGTATAATCCTATGGGTTTAGCGCTTCCCCTTTGATTATAATAATTGGCGATTCTGGATTGTGCTGATGGGGTCCCACTCCTCTTGGGAGTGTGTTCCAAGCTTCCAGCACTAGTACAGTTTTACCGCAGCAAAAATACGTTTTCCGACCTGCGAAAAGTTATCAAAAATGCCCACGGCTGCCTCAAGGCTGGTCTTCAACTTGCTCGAGCAATTTCCGAAATTCACGAGAAGAGTGTTATCATGCGCCGACATGACAGTGGCTTTCTCTGTACTTAACAAATCAGAATTGTAGTTACACACTGTAACCTTTGCAAAGAAATAAAATCTTTATTCTTTTTTTTTTCTTTATTTATAACGATCTAAAATTAGATATCATTGTGAAATATGAGAAAAATATGTTTGCCCAAAGCTTTGATAATCATTTATCGTCTAGCCTAGTTTGATAACTTGCAATATCCTGGTTTGATAACTTGCAATATCCTGGTTTGATAACTTGCAATATCCTGGTTTGATAACTTGCAATATCCTGGTCTGTCACAGCTCACTGGAGTATAAAACAAATTCTGTGGAAAATACTATATATATTTTCCAGAAATTCAGTATTTATATGTAAATAGATGGCCATACTGTATTTAATAATATTTGTGTCATAGAAAACGGAAAGCCTGCGTCTGCGCAGACGAGACTCGCCATCTTGGTTTTAAATTGGATACAACGTTAGCGTAATGGGAGGGAATTTTCGTGCTCTAGAGGTTAAAATTGGGCTGACACCTCTCAAATAGGAGGCGAAATTGTTGGACATGCATTCCTGCATAACTTGAGATATCAGACGACTGGACAAGACAGCTCCAGGAACCTCAGATAAGCTCTCTAGATTTGTGTGTAATTCTGGCCAGCATTATTTTCATAGATTTAGTTAGAGTGAGGTTTTCTGAGTATGATACACATTAATCTCCAGTCAAATTGGTGAGTGATATTAAGATATATTTTCCTTCTGTTATGTAATTGTGTATATATATATAACCATTTATTATTTTTAATATACAGTCCACAAATTTATATATTTACCTGTATTCCTGGTGTATGTATATTTCATTTAATTAATAGGTCCAGAGCAACTTGTGGATATGACAGTGGTAGGTATCGAAGGGGGACATTTTTTGCGACCTAGGTGTCCCAAATTCCTACTTGTCTAACTGATAAATAATAATTATCAATGTTCATTTACTGTTATGTATATAATAATACATTCAGATAAATGCAATTTTCCACAAATTCCAACCACACAACAGAGCGAAAAACTAATGTGAAGGACCTGGGAGTGATAATGTCAGACAAACTCACTTTCAAATATCAGAACAATGTATCTACCACATGTGTTAGGAATATGATAGGATGGGTAAAGAAAAACCTTCAAAACTAGAGATGCCAAGCCAATGATTATTGTCTTCAAATCGCTTGTTCTGTCTCGGCTAGAATATTGATGTACACTAACGGCCGCTTTGCAGTGTCTGACAATTAAGGTTGATGGATTGATTACATCTTTATTTCACTACTACATCTGTTGCCTCTGTATTTGACCAAAGAAGCCTACTGTGTAGGCGAAACGTTTGAACAGTAAAGATACCCAACTATTGCACATGTGTCTTAATCATCAACTTGTTGATATTTTATACCATTATCAATCAACTGTCAGACACTGCAACACGACGGTATCTTGGTACAGTGAACATCTTCCACATTTCATCGTGTATCTTCCAGTTATGAGTGAGAAGAGTTCAGTTCCAGAGGAACCTATCTTCTTGCACGAGTGAATCCGTCCCCTACAACATCATCGGGATCTTCCATCTGACCTTTGACAGTATTTAAGTCCCCATTCTCATGCTTCAGCTTCATATCGTTCCAGACCATGGAACTGAACGTTTATTCAGGCTGAGGGACTGACCACCTCAAATACTTTTTCTCCAGGTTGATGGACTGACTACATCATCTTCATTTCACTTCTACACCTGCTGCCTCTGTATTTGACTGAAGAAACCTACTGTGTAGGCGAAACGTTACAACAGTAAAGATATCCAACTGTTGCACATGTGTCTTATTCATCAAGGATATTAGTTTGCGTTTATTATGATTTTAATCAATATTTTAAAGGATATTGTTTAGGTTCAGTTTTAAGCAAATGTGATTTTGTTTAGTTTTTACTGACGAGGATGTTGTTTAATTTATTGCGTAATAGTTATAATTAAGATGAGCCATAGAAGGTTAATGAAAAAAATGTGAAATGTACAGGAAAGTAATGAACACTCAGTTAAATTTTATTTTATAAAATACAGGAAAAATAAAGAACTTCCTATATTGTATATTGTATAAAGCTTAGCGACACTATTAAGTCTGGAGACACGATGGTGTTCATCAGGCATGATGATGGTGGCTAATTTTGCCTGGGATAGGCCTATATGTGGCGCCAAACTTAACCCTCTGTGGTCAGTTTTTTTTACTAAATACAATTGGATACATCCTCAGTGTGCTGCTACCCTATTCTCTGTAAGACTTACACAGCGGGAGGAAAAGCTATTTTTCCCTTGACATCATCAGTTGTGAAGGACAGGTTTTTTACAAGGTGTTGAAATCTTTTAATCTGAGCTGGGAGACCTGAGCAGTGTTAACCTGAGAGGGTGTTAGGAGTGTCAACTTGAGCTGGCAGCAGTATTTAATTGTGATGTCTACGCACTTCTGGTAAGACGGCTATTGAATAAATGATGGTGAATGTTCCTTTTTTTTAGTAACTTTGCCTTCTTATTCTTCTTCTCTCATTATTATTATTAATGAAGAAAGTAAATTAGTTAATCAGGAACTGTCCCTCGTGAATCCATGTTGAGTATTATCGTTCAAATTATGCTTGACCCTTGTAGGTTCAGCGCTTTTTTTTATTATAATAATAATAATTATGCTTATCAAGATAGCTTCTTATAATATCAGCGCTGTATAGTCCTTGTGGCTTAGCGCTTCTTTTTGATTATAATAATAATAATAATTATAATATCAGCTATAACTGACTCTCAGTAATTGCCTACAATTGAGGTAAGGCTTATTAGGCGGTAATTTGACGGTAATGTCTTATTCCCTGTTTCAAAAATAGTAATTGCATTGGCCATCTTTCACATCTCATACACTACACCTGTTTGAAGAGATATATTAAAAAGTTAGTTAATGCTTCACAAAGTTTCATTTTGCATTCCTTAAGAACACTTGAAAAAAGTTCATCAGAGCTCTATAAACGTCAACGTCAACCTGGGCAGCAGCCACATCACAGACTCCGTAACACGACCCAACACGTTTTGCTTCCCACAGGCACTGTATGACCCCCTCCCCTGCGGGTTTACCGCTTCCCCATGGAGGCAATGATAATAATAATCAAGTTCTGTTTTAAGTTTATTTTTGTAACATTCTCGAGAGATATAATTTATTTTTTTATGATTTATTCAGACCACAAATATTTCAATAATTTATTAAGACCCTTAGAATTATATTTAAAATTTATGTAATTTTTTTTTAAGAATATTCATAAATATTCCAAGAATATCAATGAATATTTCAGAAATGTCGATAAATATTCCAGGATATCAAAAATATATTCCTGGAATATTTTAAAAAAATTCCAGGAACATCAATGAAGATTTTAGAAATATCGACAAATATTTCAGGAATATTAATGAGTATTCCTGGAATATCATTAAATATTACCGGAATATCAATAAATATTCTGGGAATAACAATAAAAATTTCTGGAATATAAATAAATATTGCAATATCAATAAATATTCGAGGAATGTCCATAAATATTCCTGGAACTTCGGACATAATGCGGAAGTTATTGAATTGTTTTAGTAACTTCTGCAAATATTCCAAGTTTCTTAGAGCATTCAGAATATTCCAATAGGTAAAAAAAAAAAACTAGGAATATTCCAAAGTAGCTAGAAATATTCTAAGAATCTCAAGATATATTCAAAGAACCTTGGGAAATACTCCAGAGTTTCTAAGACAATTTTTATTAATTACAATTTCAAAGTATCAAAGTTAGAAGTGAGGGAGGACCAGGAGCTAGAGTGTCAGTGGCCGTACCAGCATCGTACCAGCATCGCTCATCTTACTCTAGTACACTTACGGTTATTGTCATTTAGTCTGGCTGTGGAATATCTTGTCTGACGGTACAACATGTCTGGTGAGAGACACTTGTCAATGCTCTCTCACGTAGCAGTCTGATGTTGAAAGGGAATATTTACATTAAGTTTCAGATTCATTGACGTCCTTCTACTGTGGTACTACCTACCACCGCCACCATCATCATAATCACCACCACTGACACTGCTATCATCACTGTAACCACCACCGTCCCTACAATCACCACAGTCATCATCACCACCATTGCACTCTTGACGTCGTCCACCACCAACACTACAACTACCACTACCACCATTTACCAGTATCAATACGATGTCGTCCTGGATATGAACCAGTTTATCTTAAAACAACAAACACAATAGTTAAAATAACATTAATATTATTTTATTATTGCACCAATGTGATCTCTCATGAAGGAACGGTGAGGGTAGTGTTTTGTTCGTCAGCAGTAAGGTCAGCGTCTCCTAATTAAATGATTAAAATTGAAGGTGGATATAGAGAGTAAAACGAAAAGGCAGAAGTGTGGGAGAAGGAGGAGGAAGAAAGGAGAAAATTTTCAAGAACGGAATAGGAGAGGGAATGATATTAGAATTTCTTGTAGACAGAATAGAGTGTAAAGATTCCATGGTTGAGGGTTGTTAGTTAGGTGACGCCCAGTTCAGCATTCGCTGGTCTTCTCCAACTTAGCCTGATATCCCGTATTAAAAAATAATAAAAGATCTCTACACAATAGTGGTCTAAGATGTGTTATTGTTTAGAAAGAATGAAGAAAGCAGAAACTGTCTAGATTCTTCTATAACAGTGAGTGTTTTGAGGGAAAATAAGACCTCAGAGGTGTAGCACTGAATCTCTGAGGTTACAGAGAGTTGCAGAGTGGAGACATAACAATATATAATACTGATATTCATAGCTACTGCAAGTCCACACGACGTCTTACAATTACTCTGTAAAAAAAAAAAAGAGATTTACAGGACGTAAACATTTTGTGTTAAAACTCTACCTGGGTTTTTACAAAATATAAAATATAAAAATTCGAGGTAAACAAATTCATCTGAGACTTCTCTGATCTGATCAATATTGAACAATATTATCGCCAAGAAATATTAATTTTCCTACAAAATATCATAACATATACGAAGTTATAGGTCAGTCTGGCCTACCTGAAACACACATTAATTTACGTTAATAAGCAGTTAGGTTTATGTACACAGACTTATTACACCTCAACAAACTTATAAACAATAACAAAAAAGGTAAAAAGAGAAAAACAGATTATAAGGGAATTAGTCTCAAATTTCTTCGTGGAAACACTTGAAGGAGACCTTGACGCTGCTCAAGCCTTCTTGCAGAACAACAATAATAATAATTATAATGGTCGAAGTGCGTTACATTGAGTATTTGATCGAGTCGTAATAGTTGGGTGGAGCCGGGGTGGGCGTGGGCGTGGCTTGGTGGTGAGGGAGGAGGTGAGTGGGCGAGGGGCAGAGACTGCCATTGATGGCACCCTGCGTGGGCGTGATAGACCCGCCTCCACCCATGGTGGTGGGCGGAGTCCACAGTCGCTTGTCGTAGCTGGGTGCCACCACCGCTGACGTCATCTGTTGTTGTTGCTGCTGCTGCTGTTGGTGTAGCTGTTGTTGCTGTTGGTGCTGTTGTGGCTGCTGATGCTGCTGATGCTGCTGCTGCTGGTGTTGCTGCTGCTGCTGATGCCCCATGCCTCGCATACCTGCAGACACAACACCAGAGTCAATACATCGTCTTCACATCGCGTCCAAATTGCATATTACCCAACAATAGTGAAGGAAACTCACTCCTTCCAGAACAGATCTTCATTTGCTCAACTTTCGTTTGTTAAAGTTCAACATAGAGCGACACCTGACGCAATAAAGTTCTACACAGAGCATAACATGACATGACAAAGCTCTACATAAATTAAATGACATAAAAAAGTTTTACACAGGGCAAAATGTTCTCCCAATAAAAGACTTCTACAAAAACTAACTGATATTATGTACACTATTATTATTCTCACCATGACAAAAGTTAAACTTTTTGTATTCTCATCCCTATAGAGCCCTTGTGGCTTAGCGCTTTTTTTTTATTATAATAATGTATTCTCATCCACATTAGCTGTCCAGAGTTCATAGATGAGGAAATTTTGAAGATTTATGAAATAGCGAATAATTTAAAATACCAAATAACAATTAACTGACAAATCTATTAAAACTTCTAGAAATACATTTTAAAATTTGAAAAAAAAGAAAGAATAAAAAGAAAGATATTCTACCTTTCCATGAAAACTTTCTTGATATAAATTTTCAACTTAGAAATTGTAAAAATCAAATATATATTTAAAAATCTTGATAGAGTAAGAAAACATTTGATTAAGAATTCCTCCCAAAATGCTGATGGCTGTGCCTATAAGATTCCCTGTAAAAAATACAATTAAGTTTATTATGGACAGACTGAAAAAAACATCTTGAGCTAAGATTACAACATAAATATAATCTCTCAATTGATTTTCAAAAGGTCGAGAAAACTGTGTGAAACAGGTCTATGGTTGAGAAAAATATAATAGAATTTTTTCATAGAAAATAGTTTTGATTTCAGTATGAATATTAGTTCAGAGTTATATAAATTAGATTCAATTATCATTGATAAAATTTGTCACGAATTTTAACTGTGCCTGAAATTTCACTTACACATACACACATACACACCACACACACACACACACACACACACACACACACACACACACACACACACACACACACACACACATACACACACACACACATACACACACACACACACACATACACACACACATACACACACACACACACACACACACACACACACATACACAAAACACACATACACACATACACACACACACACACACACACACATACACACACACATACACACATACACACACACACACACATACACACACACATACACACACACACACACACACATACACACATACACACACACACACACATACACACACACACATACACACACACACACACACACACACACACACACACATACATACACACACACATACACACACACATACACACACACACACACACACACACACACCACACACAACACACACACACACACACACACCCCATACACACACACACCATACACACACATACACACACACACACACACACATACACACACACACACACACACACATACACACATACACACACACACACATACACACATACACCACACACACAACACACACACACACACACACACCCCACACACACATACACACACACACATACACACACACACACACACACATACACACATACACACACACACACAACAAAAGCTGGACAGGCTGCAGACCTGGTCCAGCAATTGGCTCCTGGAGTTCAATCCCACCAAGTGCAAAGTCATGAAGATTGGGGAAGGGCAAAGAAGACCGCAGACGGAGTACAGTCTAGGGGACCAGAGACTACAAACCTCACTCAAGGAAAAAGATCTTGGGGTGAGTATAACACCAAGCACATCTCCTGAAGCGCACATCAACCAAATAACTGCTGCAGCATATGGGCGCCTGGCAAACCTCAGAACAGCATTCCGACATCTTAATAAGGAATCGTTCAGGACCCTGTACACCGTGTACGTTAGGCCCATATTGGAGTGCGCGGCACCAGTTTGGAACCCACACCTAGCCAAGCATGTAAAAAAACTAGAGAAAGTGCAAAGGTTTGCAACAAGACTAGTCCCAGAGCTAAGAGGTATGTCCTACGAGGAGACGTTAAGGGAAATCAACCTGACGACACTGGAGGACAGGAGAGATAGGGGGGACATGATAACGACTTACAAAATACTGAGAGGAATTGACAAGGTGGACAAAGACAGGATGTTCCAGAGATTGGACACAGCAACAATGAGACACAGTTGGAAGTTGAAGACACAGATGAATCACAGGGGTGTTAGGAAGTATTTCTTCAGCCACAGAATAGTCAGGAAGTGGAATAGTTTGGGAAGCGATGTAGTGGAGGCAGGATCCATACATAGCTTTAAGCAGAGGTACGATAAAGCTCATGGTTCAGGGAGAGTGACCTAGTAGCGACCAGTGATGAGGCGGGGCCAGGAGCTTGGACTCGACCCCTGCAGCTTCAACTAGGTGAGTAACACACACACACACACACACACACACACACACACACACACACACACACACACACACACACACACACACACACACACATACACACACACACACACACTTGAGAATGGAAAAGGACTCAGGAAAATAAAGAGATTAGTCGACGAGCCAGAAACGAGTATGCACAGATAAGGAGGGAGGCGCAACGACAGTATGAAAACGACATAGCATCGAAAGTCAAGTCTGACCCGAAACTGCTTTACAGCCACATCAGGAGGAAGACAACAGTCAAGGACCAGGTAATCAGGCTGAGGAAAGAAGGTGGGGAGCTCACAAGAAATGACCAAGAAGTATGTGAGGAGCTGAACATAAGATTTCAGAAAGTATTTACAGTGGAGGCTGAAGGGACACTGGGAAGACAAAACAGAGGGGTACACCAACATGGAATATGCCAACAAAGGTTGGATGAATAACACACAACTGAGGAGGAGGTGGAGAAGCTCCTAAGTGACCTTGATACCTCAAAGGCGGTGTCCAGACAACATCTCTCCGTGGGTCCTTGGAGAGAGAGCAGAGACACTACGTGTGTCACTAACCAAAATCTTCAACACTTCCCTTGAAACTGGGCAACTACCTGAAGTATGGAAGAAGGCAAATGTAGTCCCCATCCTTAAGAAAGGAGACAGAAATGAAGCACTAAATTATAGATCAGTGTCACTGACATGTATAGTATGCAAAGCCATGGAGAAGATTATCAGGAGGAGAGTGGTGGCGCACCTGGAGAGGAACAAGGCTATAAACGACAGCCAGCAAGAATTCATGGAAGGCAAATCCTGTGTCACAAACCTACTAGAGTTTTATGACAAGGTAACTGAAGTAAGAAATGAAAGGGAAGAGTGGGTTGATTGCATTTTCTTGGACAGCAAGAAGGTCTTCGACACAGTTCCTCACAAGAGATTAGTAAAGAAGCTAGAGGATCAGGCACATATAACAGGAAGGGCACTGCAATGGATTAGAGAATACATAACAGGGAGGCAATAGCGAATCATGGTCCATGGTGAGGTATCACAGTAAGCGCCTGTGACGAGCAGGGTCCCACATGGGTCAGTCCTGGGACCAGTGCTATTCTTGGTATATGTGAACGACATGACGGAAGGGATAGACTCAGAAGTGTCCCTGTTTGCAGATTATGTGGAATTAATGAGGAGAATTAAATCAGATGCGGCCCAGACAGGTCTACAAAGAGACCTGGACAGGCTGGATGCGTGGTCCAGCAACTGGCTCCTAGAATTTAACCCCGCCAAACGCAAAGTCATAAAGATCGGAGAAGGGCAAAGAAGACCGCAGACAGAGTATATGCTAGGAGGCCAAAGACTGCAAACCTCACTTAAGGAGAAAGATCTAGGAGTGAGTATAATACTGAGTACATCGCCAGAAGCACACATTAACCAGATAACTGCTGCGGCATATGGGCGTCTGGCAAACCTGAGAATAGCATTCCGGTACCTCAGTAAGGAATCGTTCAAGACTTTATACACTATGTACGTCAGGCCCATACTGGAGTACGCAGCACCAGTTTGGAACCCACACCTGGTCAAACACGTCAAGAAATTAGAGAAAGTGCAAAGGTTTGCAACAAAGCTGGTTCCAGAGCTAAGGGGAATGCCCTATGAAGAAAGGTTAAGGGAAATCGGTCTGACGACACTGGAGGACATGAAGGTCAGGGGAGACATGATAACGACATACAAAATACTGCGTGGAATAGACAAGGTGGACAGAGACAGGATGTTCCAGAGATAGGACACACATACACACACACACGCATACACACACACACACACACACACACACACACACACACCACACACACACACACACACACACACACACACACACAATACTGAGAGGAATCGACAAAGTGGACAGAGACAAAATGTTCCAGAGATGGGACACACCAACAAAGTCACAATTGGAAGTTCAAGATTCAGATGAGTCACAGGGACGTAAGGAAGTATATTTCAGCCATAGAGTTGTCAGAAAGTGGAAAAGTTTGGAAAGTGAGGTAGAGGAGGCATGTACCTTTGACCTTTGATATACCTTTGAAGACTTTCGAGAGTTTCTCTACTCTCTGAGTCCGGTCATGGGCCAGGCTCGTCTGGTGCTTGCGTGGTCAACCAGGCTTTTGCTGCTGGAGGCCCGCTGCCCTTCATATCCATCACAGCCTGGTTGATCTGGCACCTGGTGAGGATACTTGTCCAGTTTCCTCTTGAAGGCTTCTACACTTGTTCCAGCCGTGTTTCTGATATCTTCTGGTAAGATGTTGAATAGTCTATGACCCCGGATGTTGATATAGTGTTCCCTTATTGTCGCTACCGCACTCCTGCTCCTCACTGGGTTTATTTTACACTTCCTCCCATATCTCTCACTCCAGTATATTGTTATGGCAGTGTGTATATTTGGGACCAAGCCCTCGAGTACTTTCCAGGTATATATTGTCATGTCTCTCTCTCTCTCCTCCGCTCCGATGAGTTCAACACTTGCAGGCGTTCCCAGTAATTTAGGTGTTT